TAGATGAATGGTTTCTTTTGGATTTGTTCCCTTTTCTTGAAGATAAAAGGTTATTCTCCATTCAACGGACGAGTTAAATATGTCGCTTGACTCACTATGCATACGAATTTTGCAATCGTTATTTTGAGATGCAGTAAGACTAGATGTTGATTGTTTTGATAAATGGTTTAAGCGATTTTATTTTTACATGTTATCAACCGATAATATGATAACGGTGCCGACTAATGATTGCCGGCCGACCGCCGGTCGATAGTAGGAGACGTCCAGCAAAGAGTGTAATTTTATTTAGTAATTGTAACTGTGAGGTTTTGAAGGTTAAATTAAGTAAAAAGTTTAAGTTAATTTGTTTCATAAAAAAAAAAAAAAAAATAGAAAATTTAAGAGTTTTTCATTTCGTGTACAATAATATTGTAATATAAAATACTGTTTAATACATATTAGATGTAGTATCAGATATATATATATAATGGTTTATAACGTGTGTATAGTGACGTACGCTGCGTGACTTGAAAATTGAAATGAAATATTTTGCACAATGCAGGTATTTTAAAATGGATTTACGTTCATCCTGATAGAAATTATTAACAATATTATAACTTATTTAAGTATTTAATTGTAATAGACAACCGAAAATACATATTTGATAGAATATTGCTTTTAATATTAGTACAAATAAAAACTTTAATTTTAAGGTTGATAATAGACAAATAATTTATTGTTCTTATGATATGTACTAAGGACTTACTGTCGAAACTTTAATATTAAGATGAATTTTGTTATTCTTATCTTATTTACGATTTCATATCATAATGTCTTGATAAAAATGTATTTGATCATATTTTAAACAAATTTAAAAAAAATTCTTTATCCATAGAATTGATCTGATAAATTGTTCTTTTTACCATTGTTATAAAAAATATTGATATATCCATTGTGTAATAATAGATTATTACCTTTTTTATTATTAATGAATGAAAGAGTGTCATATTTAAATAAAGTTTAAGAAAGAAAATCAAATATTAGTTGACAAGTAAAACTCGTGTGATTAAATAATATATAAACCTGCTAAAATGCCCTGTTACGAAAATCTCACCTAATTAACAGATAAAGCCTTTACCATTTTTATCTTAATGACATAATATGTACACGTAGTAAATACCTAATATATAGTAGATTAGCAACTAATTTCAGATATTAAATATTTTCAAATATAAAATGTTGATTGTAGATACAATTATGTATAATAATTAATTAACTAATAAGAAAAAAAGAATTAAGAAAATATATTTTAACCAAAGATATTATTTAGAAGATATTTTGATCGGTCCCCCTTATTTACACATACTATAAACACTGATCTAGTTAAAAAATTATCGTACGGTTAAAATCAATTTGAAAAATATCTAGCTAATAAATATTAGGTTATTTAATTACATGAAGTATTTATTATTTATTTTTTTTATAATGATTTAAAATTTTATCAGAGGTACCTATGTGTAATTAAAACGTAAACATTACGTACATTATAATAATACTTGTAATAATATAGATAATAGCGAAATAATAGCTGAATGTTTAGAAAACGTATACTTCTATAATGAAGCTTCTACATCTACACTAAAAATAAATCGAGAATTTATAATTAGAATGCAATCACTCGAATATTATGGAAGGATGCACGTACAGTGTCTTATATAGGGTGATTTATTAAGTATGATGTTCTCCCTCTTATTTTTTATACCATTTCAGAAGTGTCCTGTAGACTTAAAAGCGTTTTTTTTTTTCAAATGGAAACTATTCTTAATCTGTAAATTATTAAGCAGATGAATTGTTTTATATGTTAACGTATCTTAATCAAAAATCAAATCAATAGTTTCTGAGTTATTACAATTTATATTATTTAGTAAGGATAATAGTTCTAAGAAATAGTTTCTAAAAAAAATTTATGACGTTAGATAGTTTTAATTAAAACTATACAAATTTTTAATAAATAATATGTTGATAGATTATTATTATTATAAACAACTAAAATGTTTTAATCTTCATAGCCCTCAAACTTCCCAAACTCATTTTTATGGACCTATTATCCTGAGCAAAGAAAGTTAAATAACTCTTAAATTATTTTTTCTAATTTCAATTTAGATATATCAGCATCTATAAAAAGTCATCTTATAAATAATTTACAGTAAAAAAAGAGCGATTCTTATTTTATAAAAATAAGTTTATTTCTGCACCACAGTATACTTCTTTAAATAGTGTAAAAATCTAGGTTTTGAATATATAGATTTAAGTATACTTTAAATTTCAAAAATCAAAATTTAAATGAATTCATTGCCAAAGCACAAAATGGGCGTAATTATTATTGGTAAAATCATACTATATATTTGTATTACAATGTGTATATTCAGTCGTTCGATAACGTCACATGTAATAACATGTCACGCAACACCATACTCGCAATTACTTTGCAATGTTCTATTATTTAATTGTTATTTAAAGCTTTAAATCACAAGTTAATGGATTAAGTAGATGTATTTATTGGCATTAATCTGACTTTTTCATTAATGTTAATTTGTTTTAATGCTTCGTAATTATTATGATTCACTCGAACGCAAGATTCGCAAATAATGCATATTGTATTTTAGTTTAAAAAGTTCTTGTTTCATTATTGCTATCACAGTTTGTATAGTTTAATAATTAATACCATATTATATTTTATTGAAACTTGCAATTAGATCTATTTAAATTAAAGCTATATTATGACCAATGCTATAGCATTACAAACATATATGTTGTAATTTTATGAAATATGAAATATATAGATTATTTTAATATATAGTTATGCAATAGGTAATTAAATTTAGTTTTTATTTAATGCACATTATAACCTAGAAAAATTATCCAATTGAATTTTTTTAATCAATATTTAGAATTGGATAAACGCCGATGTTCTTCATTATGGACATACGGCAAAAAAAAAAAAAATGTTTTATTTTAAAAACATAGAAATTAATTAAAATAATGAATTTTGTTTGAATGCCTATATCGACGTCTTAATTAAAACATAAATTTTAATTGAAATTGATTTTGAAACTAAAACATAATGTTATTATGTTAAAGTTTAAATGTGTTTATTTAATATTATGATACCATCTGAAAATTTTCTCTTCCAAAATGAAAACATAATATAATATAGTAGTTGTCATTTGTTATATCATTGTGAAACCAATTATAGCGGTTGATTAGTTTCGTCAGAATTCGTAAATGTTTTAAAAGTAGACGTTTTTAATAATTGAATTATACAAATTGACTAGACCGGTTACTGTCATTAAATTTCGCGTTAGTGGTATAGTTCTAATGGCTTTTTAGATGGTTTAGAAGCTTAGGACTGAACATTGTGTCAAAACAATTAGAATAAACTACGGTAATAAAAAAGTTTACAATGAATTTCTATAGTAAGTTTGTTAGATGGAAACTTTATTAGGCACAATTATTTTTTCAGTCTATTAATGCCCATGTTTTAACTTTAAAGTCAAGGAAATATATTTCCTAGAACTAATAAACACAAATGTTTTAAATAAAATTCTACTAAGAATTTAAGCGATTTAATACAATTATTGTTGTTAACACCAAGTATAAAATAAGGTCAGGAAACAAAAGATCATTGCTATTTAATTTAAGTTTAAAATTAATTGACTATTCCTTAATATGTATGGAATTTAAATAATAAATATTTATAAAATATTTGTTATTTTATCATTATCATAAGGAAACCAAATATTATTCAAACACAAATTAATAATAGCTCAATTTTGAGGCGCATGTTAAGGTTGATCTATAAATAATAAGGAGCCACTTTTGATTATAATGTTCAAGCTTTTTATTTTATTTTGAAAAATTTGACCATAAAAAACTAATTAATCATATTGTACTATTTAATATTGTGTAGTTCCATTTTGTTAATTTTAAAATATAGTAGAGAGCAACATTTGAAGAAAATGAAGAAAAATAAAAATATTTCTAAAATATTTTATTATATATTTAACTACATAGATTTTGATAATTTAATGAACGCACATTTATTGAAATTCATGAATTTTAAGTTATAAAAATAACCCTAATGAATTTTATTCATTTGACATTCGCATATTAATTATTTAACCCAACACTGTAAAATAACATACCTATTGGAATTATACAATGTATTTATTTGTAAAACCATTAACACGGTTCATATTCAAGGACCGACCGTTCAAGCGCGGAAAATACTCGATTCTATGTCGTTAAATAGGTTTTTATTCCATGGATTTCTAGTGTAGTTGCTTTAATCTATATGTATGTTACTTTAAGAATAATGAAAATTATATTAACAAGAACATAACAATATAGGCGCAGAACGTTGTAGAATGATAAAAATAATATGTGCTTCCGATATCCAGTATTATGAAATCGTGCGACGGTTGGTCATGAGTTTTCGGTTGTAATAAAAGTTTTAAATTTTCAAGACTCGTCCCAGTTATATCTCTGTGCGTGTAGTAGCAGGTAGCAATGTTACGCGTGTGTGTATCTCCTGTACGTACGAATAATGCAAGCACTGAATTTTTCAACAACGAAAAACGCATTGTTATAATACACCGTTTGGCCATAAAAAATGTAAGTAGTTTTAATTAACTATTATAAGGTACACAACACGTACGTTTCCCAATGCTTATGAAAATAAAACAATGGTACACGCGATCCTAGAGAACAATGTACGTTCATTTATAAAAGTCCGTAACGTTTTGTTTCGACTGAACAACAAACGAAGCCGATCGACGGGCAGATATAAGGTGTACATAATTTACAAACGATACGGGTAAATGCACCCAGCTTTTCAGGTCGGGTACGGTTCAAACGGCGGCGTATCACGTTAACTGTAGTTACCATACTAGTGTATAGTAATCGGTATAGTGAGTATTATATTTTGTACCGACGTATCATATCAAATTGATCATACGTACTTTATCTTTCGTTTTCTTCTTAGACGATCGTTTTTTCGGTGATCTAATACTAGACTTAAAGTTTCCCTTCCGTGGCAACTTAACGATCCACGACGGTGGGACAATTATATTACTATGTTTACCTGAAAACACATAAACATAAGGGTTAAAAAAAGCTCGTAAAAAGGTATACCGAATTCGGTATAATAATCGCGTTGTAGGTATACAATAAATATAATATAATGTTTATGCAAAAAATCACCAAAGGTTGGCCATTTCCGTAGTTTGTTTTACAATCGTCGACATAACAATATAATAAAATATAATATTCAAACAAAATCGTTTTTCTTTGTGTATATTCGTGTTTTGCATATCTCAATGTCTGTGGTTTACGGTGTGTAAAGTGGGAGGAGAAAACAAGAAAAGTAATGATTATTAACCTGGGCTTGGATTTTATGGCACTTACTACTACTGATAGATGTGGGCTATAAATAATAGCATGGAAATCTTAAAATATGCATTAAAAATATTTGAAATTGTGTGACTATTTTTTTATTTAAGCTAAAGGCTTATAAATACTAATTAATATTTAAAAATTAATTAATTAATTTACAAAACTAAAATTAACTCTGAGAATTTATCATATAACTTTGATTCTACTAATTTTATCAAAATCATATAGTTTATGAAAAACAAAAACTAATGTAATTTAATGCTGGTAGTAAAAATAAAAAAAAATATAATACCAAAAACAGGAGAATCAAACTGATAATCTATAACGCTTATAATATGTTAATATGTAAACATAATAATATTAATAATATATGCAGTAGAAAATGTTAAAAGTATTTTAAGTTCCTAATGCACAACACATCTGTATAGGTTACCTTAATATTTCTATTTCTACTCTAAAGTATTAAATTAGAAAATGCTATTTAATTTGAACCTTGGTTCTAATCGTGGGTAATAATATGATATTAAAAACAATCAAAGCGTGAAATTCTGAGTAAACCATTTCAATCGTAACCAACGAACGGACATCACATCTTGCGTTTGGAAACAATTAAGTGGCGTTTAAAAGAACCGTTAAGTTTACTTATCTATGTTTACCAAGTTTCAGAGTGCTCTTTTCCTTTTATCCTTATTTATTTCTGACCTAATTCAGAAACACGTTAAAACCTTAAGTCACTTTATGTATATATAGTATATACTCTATACTCTAGTACTATTATTATACAGTTCAATCGTTAACGTTTTTTGAGGGGTTATCCGGTTTGTATATACTATGTTATAGTTCTGTAATAGTTTTTATTATTTTGTCTAGAGATATTTTCGTAGTAATTAACTAAAGGAAGAAATTTTTGCAAATGTGTTAAAATAGTGTCCTGTTTGCTCGGTGGATCAACTATAAAAACGAACAAACTCGTTTTATCCAACCTTGTCATATTTTTGAACTTACGAACCAAAGTTGAACTAACGATATCAGAAGTCTGAGAATATAATATACTCGTATAGTGTATACTGTACACTGTACACACATTTCATGCGTTAAATTTTTAGACTTACGTTGTTTTGCTCTGCTATAAATAATTATAAGTTATTTCGTAATCAATCGATGTTTTATACTTTTCATTGAAAGTTCTTGAATAACTTATTTTTAATGTTTTTGTTCAAATAATAATAATAGGTAACCCATAATATAGGTAGTTGGTTTTTCTGCCTGAAGGTAATTGTGTTTATGACGTTTATATTAACAATAACTACCTAACTTGCCAAATATAATATCAATTGAGGTTTTCACCAAAATTCAAACATACACACGCACACACACACCTCTATTGTGTGGTCCAAATCTAAAATATTCATGCGCAGACTAAAACGTAATAATTATACATAGAGGATTTGGCTATTGATTTAATAACAGTGATATGAATAACATGAAAATGTGTGATATTTTCGTTACATCGTTCATGCAATATATTAATCTTAATTGAGTTATCAAATTTACTTTAAATTGTTGAGTGCTTATTATTTTTTTTTAAGTGTCATATGTGTATGTATAATGTGAAGTGTGTCTTATTTATTCATGTTTGTAATAGTTTCATATTTATTTTTTAGAGTTGTGTCGTACAGTTTTTATTTTCATAACTGTTTATTTTTATAATATTTGGTTTACTTTAATGATTTATGGTTTTCAGTATTTTTTTTAATTGAAGTTGAATATATTTTTATAATTGTTTTTGGTCTGCGTACGTGTGTTGTGTTATGTTAAAGATTGGAGTATCCGTTGAGAAGACCACATTAGACGGCTTTTTTTATTTTTATTTAGTTTCCTTTATAAGTCATTATGTCATAGGTAACTAGGTTTTATGCTATGTAAATACAAAAATAAAATGTCTATATATATTTATTTTTTTGTCATGAAGCTTGAATATTATTTTTTATGTAATGCATTTTGATATATCGGTAAGGGTTTGTTATGATTTTGGTGCTTGTTAAATAAAATCTTAAATATCTATTATGTTTTAAACAATTTTCAACGTATTACGTTGATCGCAATAATATGATTGATTTTAAAAGTGTTATTTAATTAATTTAAGTTATTCAATTTATTGGTTATAAATTTATGTTGCAAACGAACGCACGAGTATTGAGAGCGTAATATTATATTTTTGGGGGAAAAGAATATGATCGATACGGTATTTGCGTGTACGAATATACGTGTATTATATAACGTAAATAATTTTTGTTCACTTTACTCATTTTCGATGTAAATATCGGTACATAATATGCCCCAGTAATTGCTTGTTTCTGATATTTCTGTATATATAGTTATTGTTTAGACATTGTCCATAGTAAAATTACATAATATTATTTAAAAATTTAAAGTTGTTGTGGCCACTGTTCATTTTATAGATACCAAGTAATCTTTATTAGCTGACTAATTAGTGATGTTGTCTACAAAGGAAAAAAATGAGCGATGACTTTCGCATAGTTTGTAATTCTTTATTTTTGCGCTCTACATAGGGAATATAATATAGTATAACCTATATTACTTCTTTCTGTTTATTATCACCACGCATTATGAATGACAATATTATAATATTATAAATATGGTTCATAAAACTTTTATGATTTATTCATTATTTCCATCCCAAAGCCGATCGATTCTTGGAGCCTTAGATTTAATAAATCGTGTATAATTATGGGAGTATTATAATTAACTTATTTTGAAAATAAATACTTATAATAACCACTAAATTATACGAGTATAATAATTTACTTATAAGACTGTTTGAATAATATAAATACTAATAATGTAATGATAGTTCATACTTAAATGAAATACAAAAGAATTCATGATATATATAAAAAAAGAAAACGATCAGAGGCCTGGTTAATTCTAAGGAATGAGTGGATTAATCAAGTTATTTAAACTGCCATTTTCATTTTCAATTTTTTTTTTTTTTTTTTGGTTTTTTGTGAATATATATGATAATAATGTTACGTGAGTTTTAAATTGACAAAGATGGTAAGATTAAATTATGACGGAATAACTTTGATAAAGAATAACGCTCAACTAAAATGTTAGTTCTGTATTTTGATGAAATCAAAAGATTCTTCTTGTTGGCGAAACTTTCAAATAAATGTTTTTCCGTTACTGTTCGGAGATAAGTTTAAATAATATCAATGATATCTCGGTAAATATTATTCGTGATAGTAAAAATATATTAAAATGTAATAATAATAATTTCATGGAATTTATCTTACGTTAAATTTCAATTTAAGAATGTTAGGTTAGGATTTAATAATATTGATATTGTTTAGTTATTGTTAACAAGATAATCATAAAACATGAATAATTTTGTAGTAAGCGGAACAATCAACTGACGTTATTGTAAGAATAACCACCACAACTATTAGTGTAAATATTTTTTGCCGTAAATTTCTTATAATTATTTTTTAATTTCAACAAGCCCTCCAATGTACCCTGCACTAAATTCTTTTTTTTTTAAATATGTAATAGTATTTTATTTAAATTTGTCTTTTTTTTTTTCAAAAATAAACTATTATTCATTTCTATTCATTAAGTTAGACATAAACCAATATGAATTTATTTTTTATTTTTTCATACATCGGAAATTGCTTAAAAGTTATTTATATCACATGATATCATTTCCTCGTTGGTTTTTCGTTCTTTTTTTGTTCAGTAAAACTCAGTAATGGATTATTATTAAAAAAAAAAAAAATCATATCACATACTTCCGCTCTGATTATTTTTGAATACAATTTTAAAACATTAATTTTAAAGTCTAAAAAGCAGAAGAAAAGTACATAATTTTTATGCTCTCAACTCAAATTAGTATAAAAATGTAAACACGTTATTTTATCATTATATTTATTTAATATGAAAAACGACCGAGATACAACTAACTTTTTATTACTTAATTCTTGTGTTCAAAATAAATTTCCGCTTTTGTTATAAAGAAGATGTTAAGTCCCAGAACCAATTTAATTTAAACATTTTTAGACGATATTTATTAATTAATTAGTTAATTATTAATTATTTATTTATTAATTAATTAGTTTATATATTCTCAGCGTTTGAACTTTTTATTTAATTTACGAATTTGAATTAATTGTGGTATTTTATTTAAATTCAAACTGTAATATTATATTAAGTAAATAAATTTAATTTTATTATCATGACAATTCGAGACAATTAATTCAAAAGAATAAAAAATGAAATTTTAAAAATATAACATAAAATTTGCTAGTTATCGTTTTATACACTGCTGCGTTGGTATTGTAGTGTGAATATGCTTACACAATCAAAATTCTCTTAGAGAGTGTATTACTTCTGATGACAAACGGCTTCAGCGGCGTTGATAAATGAGAACGACTACAGAACAAGTTTGTGTCGCCACATCTAATCGAATAAACTCTAGATAACGCGAATATAATAGTGTAATAATAATAATAATTTACAATAATGGCATATCGTGTAGACACTTTAGTACTTTAGTACTGTGGCTGCTTCATCATTGGGAAATTTAGGACTATTATCAATATTATTGATATTAGTATTGGCAGTGGTGTTTTTTTGGTAACTTTAAAGTATTTAAATCAAAATTTTAACTAGTTTAACCGTAGTTCTAAGTTATTAACTAGTACGTTCTAAGGATAATTTATAGATCCATGATTATAATTTGGAAGATACTTATTTTTTTTTAATTTACTTAAAAATTACAAGATAATTTTTTTTTTTTTGGTATTTTTTATTGGTACTTAAACGGGTGTTATAGTATTTTACTTTTATTAACGGAAAATTATAATTTTAATTTCGTATTCTGAAACAAAATATTTTCTGAGAAATTTAATGTATAAGAATTTAAAATATATTCAAATGAATAGTTGATTATTATAAATTATTAATTCATAAGTATTTAAAGATTTGATGGGTTAAATAGTGGACCAATATTTTGTGAAGTACTCTAGTGTTACTTCATTACACTCATCAAACTTAAAATATGTACTCATAACTAATTAACTACTCATTCGGTATTTTTATTGATAACTATTAATAACTACTTATCGAAAAATTTTAAAATGGACCTTTCAATAATGATTATGTAGTATGGAACATACATTTAATAGTTTAATTTATTATAGAAAAACATTAGTAATATAGTTCATAAAATATGTCTAATAAAAATAATATTATATCTGTGAAACGAATAAAATAAAAAAAAAATTGAAAAATATTTCGTCATTATCTAGGAATTAAGCCATAGATAATTATCTGTTGATTTAAGAATTGATTAATTTAGCATTGGATTAAAATTTCATTTTTAAGTTCTATTTTTTAGATGAAAAATTTATTATTTTTAATCTATCTGTAGGTATTTTCTACTGTAGTAGACATCGGATGCTTTAGTGTTTGAAGAGCTAATTAAGCTAACACAATATATGCTCGTTTAAAAACATAAGTTTTTATCGCTAACTAAATTTCCGTAAGTGGTATAAGCAATTTCAAGTTTTAAAAAATATAATATTTAAATTGATTACAAATTCCAAAAATAAGATTTTTAATAACTGTATTAAAAAAAAAAAATTGAGGGTATCATACTTATAAATTACTTACCTAGTCTTATAGACACGTTAAGAATTTAACTAGTAAATACAATGTTTTTTTTCTTAATCTGATCAATCGTAATAGTAAATAGAAATAGAAAAAAAAATTAGGATTTTAAACAACAAAGAAAAGTCGAGGAAAAATGTATTGTATTTTAAATTTATTTCGCTTTTGTATAGTTCGTATATTTTCACATACAAATTCATGGTGTAAAATATACATTTTAATTTCAACCTATATTGGTTTTGAATATATACAAGTGATTTTTTTCAGTGTATGAAAAAAAAAAAAACTAACGGACAAAAATAAAATATCTAATTAAATATGTTACACACATAAATATATATATATATATATATATATATATATATATATATATATATAATATATATATAACTGAAATACTTTATAATAATTATATATAAAATCTGTCTGTTAATTCACTATCGTCCTTCGCATAATACTAAATGAATCAATAATTCTGTTTTTAAAATATTTGACCTGATAATATACCACGTACTATGCGAGTATGTATTATAAGTAAATAATATCTTTAAAATATGTTAATGTAATAATAAACGAAGAATTTTCAACGAAATTTTTACTGTATGTATTTTAAGCTAAAATTTAGCGAGCACGTAATTATAAGTCTAAAGATGAATAAATAATTGTTGGTTTATTAATCGCAAATCGTTCAGTATTTATTTTTGATGTGATTAATATTTCGACAAGTCTTCATAAAACCGAGTGTTTGAAAATAATATGTATTTTTCTACAATTCCAATTTACTAATATTTCGAAATAACCAATTTTTTCAATTTCTAAACGATTACTAAAATTAAATTTCTTATCATCTTTGACGAGTACACAACGTTTTAATTTGAAGATTATAAAAATAATAAACATTATTAGGTTTCGAGAAAAATAATTTTTGTTTTCAAGAGCATCCAATTGTCTATTACTACGCCGTTTTGTAAAGCGCTGCTGTGTAAAGGATGCTAGTGTGTTTAACTTTCATTAGGTAACTCAAAAGTTGTATTCCTACGCCGTAGAGACACCATCCTTATATATTGTGTTTTTGCGCTTGCGATTTATTTTTTCACTTATGTTTGTTTTAATATTATATCTTTAGCGTTTGTAATTGCACCTTAAATGTAATAATTTGTGTATATTTAAGCTGACTGGGTACGAAATTGTATCATCTAATTGGATATTGTTGACTGTCTCTCACGGTCGCTTGATTAGATGACAGTTAATTTTATACACGTTTATCATGGTGTGTCACGAAAACAATCAATAAGTATTATCACGTAAAAATTATTGTTCATTGTTAATAAGTTATCAATGCTTAAATTATATGAAAATATGAAATTGTGAAGTAAATTGAAAATTACTGTACAACGCCGAAGGTAAATTATAAAGTAACGATTTAATTAAATAATATTAGATCCTTTTTAAAGTACTAATATTTGAAAAAATTTTATTGAAATAGTTAGAAGAGTTATTCAGATTTACGATGTAAACGTTATTTACAGATAATGTCGATAAAATAACATGAACACATATTTTTGTAATTTAGTTTTTTTTTTAGTAGGTACATGACTACTATATGTATTAAAAAAGAGGACGTTTTATATTATCATCGTTTTAGTTTATTGTAGAATAAATAACGTATCTATTTATTTGAATCGATTTCATTTAGTATCGAAAATATAAAAATGATTTATTAGGTACTAGGCATTATACTTAATATTAATATAAATTACATTTTTCTTGCCATCTTCCGCATAGAATTGAAATGGCATTGAACAAATCTCATAACAGACGTAATTTAAGGTATATTACGATACTCATGAATACTTAATAAAGTGATGATATATAAATAATAAATTTAACTTTTTAAATATTTACATGATTATCATCTAGTCTTGGAGATTAAGTTAGTTTTATTATTTCCTTGGAGTTTAAATAATATATAAAAATAAATTTCAAATCACATCTGTAGAGTAAGTTTACGTTTCTTTCGTTGTAAGCACCTTGCAAGAATTATTATGTTTCGAAAAAGTAATCGACGTGAAAGACATTCTGGGATCGTCAATTTGCTATATAATATAATTTGTAATGCTCACCTAAGGAACAGGGTTCGTTCATTTTCGTATCATTGAAACATGCGGTTTTATTGTGAACACTGAGCTTGCACCAAGAGCATGTAAGAGCTATGATTTCTTTGGAACTGAACGATAACACCGACTGGAACGCCTGCCGACAATACAAAAATTCTCGGATTAGACTCATGAAAATCGTTACGATTTATTATGGAATCCGTAAAACAACAGAACAACAATGACGATCATATTAATAATATGATATACGCACCTTTCCGCAATGCGAGCATTTGTCCTTTTGAGTCCTCCTGTGCATCCAATGGTGTTTGACCGTTTTATGTTCTCTGTATTGTCGGACGCCGTCATCCTTGAAGCTCGACTTGCACTTAGCTGCTTCCGGTAGATTACCCAGACATTCCGAGTGCACGATTATCCGACAACCCGAACATTTCAGACGGACTCCATGTTTCTACAAGGGAAAAGCCGAAAACCATCACATTATTAACATTTTATAACTGTTTAATCTTTATAATCCAATATATTCTTATTTCATATAGTAAATTGATGTATACTAATTGTGACATTATGAAAAAATTTGTCACACCTCGGCTGGTATGAGAAAAATATGGTCTGTGTTTAAGGTAGTTGAAACGTAACATTAATCAGTCGCCATAGTCAATTCTTTGAAATGATAATGCCTACTACATAACTGCAGTTGAAGTGGTTTGCATCTGAGCAAGTTTGCAATAGCATTGCGTTTGAGAAATAAAGCATATTGTGTTAGGATGGATTTTAAAATATTGTGATGTCCTCGAGCGATCTTTTTTATAAAATTACATTGAAAATTGCGTTTGGGCAATATTTTTTCAATGCATTCTCCCTCTTATTTTAACAAATTATATTGGGACTTTCTGTAAATTATACGATTATGGTTATAAATGAATTATTTTTTTTAAATTTTTTTCTATACCTATAATACAACGAATGGAGTTTAAAAACCGTATTATTTAAATTATCAATTCACATTTTTATTGTTCATCGAAAACGAAATTTTCATTTTTAAATTATTAGATTAACTATTGACAACAATTTTATTATCGTCCTTAACCCTCTAAAATTCGGCCTACTGGCCAACTTCCACTAGTAAACGGCCAGACATCTTAGAAATTTTTGTGACAAAAACCCCTACCAACTTTAATTATATAAACTGCACCAAGTTTCATGAAATATAAAATCAAAAAATAAGCTTTTGCACTAAATTAATATAATTAAACGATATCGAAAACGCCGTCCAAAATTTAACCGAATTAATCCAAACACCCGTTTGGAACTCGACTACACCTCAAAATATATACGCATATTCACTCTCAATACCCACACAAGTTCGCAACTAATAACACAAAAATGCCGCGTTAGAGCATATTAGCAATGATCTAGACTTCCATCTGACAAAAAAGCCCTCAACAATCTTTCGTCATATCTCAAGCGCATACTAAATAAACTTAGAAATCATTATTTCTATAATTGAACCACTATACACTCATAGCGAAAAATGGTTCGCTCTAAAGAGCTACCCGTAGCTGCCTTAGACAGAAAAATACCCAATCACCCCTAAAAAATAACATAAGTAATTGGTGTAAAATGGATCAAGAGCAAGCAGACACTTTCTACTCACATCTAGAAAATATTTTTTAACCCCACAATGACACTGATAATAATATTTTTGCCAAATACATTGAAAACTCTTTTTTCTCTGTTCTACAAATTTATCTTGCTCCCAAACCGTTCTCTTCAGGTGAAATCCAACACTGGATAAAATCTTTTCCTCTAAAAAAATCACCCGGATTGGATCTTATCACTGCTGAAGTCGCCCGACAACTTCCAAAGAAAGTAATTATTCCCCTAACCCATATCATTAATTAATTCCATGCTTAGACTATCATACTTTCCTCTTCAATATAAAATGGCAGTAATCCTTTTATTTCCGAAATCTGGCAAACCCCTAGACTTTCCATCCTCAAATCACCAACAAGCTTTCTCCCTTTTTTTGGTAAACTTTGCGAAAAATTAACTATTAAACGCTTATTGAAATTCATTAATGATAAATAAGTAATCTTTCTTTCCCAATTCGGCATTTGTAATAAGCACTCTACTATTCACCAAATTCATCGTCTAACTGACGCTATTGTTTATTCTTTTGAAAATAACTACTACTGTTCTGCAGTTCTTCTTAATGTCGCTCAAGCCTTCGACAGAGTCCGGCACACCGGACTCGTATTTAAATAAAAAAAACTTCTTCTACTACCATACTTCTTATTATTCAAATCCTAGCTTGAAAATCACCATTTTGTAACTAAAGTTGGCAATGAATTTTCAAATCTAGGGCCATTCGAGCGGTTGTACCTCAAGGCGCTATATCGTTCCCCATTATATACAACATATACGTGATCGATCAACCAACTTCTTCACACACCTTAGTGGCTGCATTTTCCAATGACAATGTAATTTTTACCTCAAATGTTAACTCACTTATTGTCAGCTAACAATTGTACTTAGATATGATGTAACAAATCATACGTTGAACTCAGATCTTGATGTACCGACCGTCATCAAAGTGACCTCAGCAACCTCATCCTACTATAAGTGCTTCCGCCGCTGCTATCTAGCAAACCATCCCAATCCATTGATTTCTAAACTTAACTCAGCTAACATCCTTGAAAATTCATCAAGAAGGCTCAAAAAGCGACTTGGATTTTTAAATTAAATCAGTAAAATTTATATAACTAAGTGTTATATAATATATAACACTTAGTTATAAATAAATAGTTATGTAAATTGTACGTGTATATATATTATATATACACGTACAATTTACATAATATATAATATAGACCAATCACTTCATTGTTCGTATCTGAGTATTACCGCTAGGTAACTTCTCTCCTCACGTCTCCAAGTCCTTATAGTTGTATATTATATTATATTATATTATTAGTACTATTTTTCGATTTTCGCACATATGCTCATAATAAATACCTTTACAAATTGTATATAATCAAATAAATGTTAAAAAAAAAGATTCACTATAAACGTAATGTTTAATCAAAACTCATTGTTTATTTGACATTGTTTTATAAACGTTGTCAGTTTTAAGAACCATATTTTTTAATAAACGGTATTATTTATTACCAAATTATTAACAACGCTGATGTAACGACTTTACGTTTTCAATAGCCATTCATAAATTATATTTATTAGTTCACTGTTTAAAATTTGTAAAACTATAAAATTTAATAAATCTGTAGATATTAATCAATACTTCCGGTCACGAAATATAATGTCTTCTCGACCAAGGCCGAATTCAGACCTTTAGTGTGCCGGTACAAGTGTCTTCCGGCTTTTAATATATAAATATAAATAGTAATTTATTTATGATAAACACACATAATAATTATTATGTAGGAACTGTTAAATTGTACGCACTTTTAAAATTTGTATTCATGGACAGGCGACCTCACTGCCCCTCCCCCCTTAATCCATCATTGCCTTCATCCAACATATTATAATTTTCTTATAATGTGTATATATATATAAAAAAAAAAAAGATGAAATAATGATTATCACTAATTTAAGTAATTTCCATCATGACAATCAACCGGCTATTGTCTTCAATATTATTATTAATAATTTTGTACGATCGTATGCACTTGACGATGATAAGTCATGAACTCGGGCGGAAATTCTCGTCACAGAATCCGCAATAGGTTTTCGTCCGTTGGGGAACGACGAGGATCGACTTGCGTGGCGGCGTAGAATCTCTCGCGCGACTCAAACCCACGGTGGAGGTGGTATGAGTTCGCAGAGCCGTATACGAGGTACGGAATTAATCAATATTGATGGCCGTTAAACCGCACACCCCACGCCATCGGACCACAGCGGCTAAATGCATTTATAGTCGATGCACACAAACCCACACACATGGTATTATAATACTATGTCACGTATACACACACCGGTGTAGGTAAGTTTTAATGAATTTAGCTGGTTACACACATCAGACGGGTGTAATATATAGTGTAAGGCGCCGCCCTGGCGATCGTTAAATTATGTCTACGCATGCTAATACGACGACTGTATAACATTATAAAAATGTAATTTACGTATATCATATATAAAGTACGTTGGCTATGGTAAAAATGTATGTGCCATGGGGTACGCCTCATCTCTTGCATACAGGTATCACGCACTGCCAAGAAAATACCGACGCCGCGGCCTTAATAATAATAATAATAATGGTTGTTACGCGCTTTGAATAGCATCTCATCCCCCTTTCGTTCGTTAAACTTGTCGCATAATTAAATGTTTGTACAGCGACGATACGTAGGTCGTTGCACAACCGCCACGGGGTTGTAGTCCTCCACCCCTTATTACGCCACATAATATCACGAGCATTACATTGCTGTGCATTGTTATTATCACTATCTAATGTTATAATAATTATAATATGATAGCAGAAATAGTGATATAAGGAATTGTATACTTATTAATTAGAAGAAAATCGCGATTTTATGTTATTGCTATATTATCGATTAAAAATTTGAATAGTAAACGAGGAATTTTACAACAAATCAAAAACAAATAATATTTAAACAACGGAATTTTAGATGACTAATTATAATGGATTTACCAATAAGTCTTTTTATGAATATTATTTTTTTATGAATTGCCTGGATACAATACAAAAATATTTTAAATAATAAACAATATTATGGTATTTTGATTTAAAAAAAAATGTAGATAATTATAGCAATGGACTGATCGATAATTTTTTTTTGTTTTAATTTATATGGTAACACTCGAGTTGGAATAACGATTAGGAATTATGGACAATGACTAATTGATAAATAGTTTAGAACATTGCGTCTAAATTATTCAATCGATTTAAATGATCATAAATTCCTAGAATAAAATAGTAAAAATTAATATTAACTAGTTGATATTTAACAAAACTATATGCATTTTTATTAATACCGCTAATAATATATTATTATGTTCATAAATATAATAGTCGAAAGTATGCCAACGCGGATAATTTCTCAGTTACGTTTTTTTTTTTAATGACATTTTTTTCAAGTAAATCCATTGAATTTTCTTTTTGATAAATCGTATTATTTTAAACATTTGTAGTGTCTTATTATAAAAACCACTTGAAAAATTTTATTCTCTCAGAAGAAAAAATATATTTGATATTAATGTGTATAGAAATGATTTTATTATTTTATTTTGATGGTAATATAGAAACAAAAATGTATAGTAATAATATATTATCAGTTAAATATAGTATTATTATTATTATCAATTAATAATTTAAAATATGAAAAATTATATTTATATTTAATATATGTCAAACAATTAAAAAAAAAAAAAAAAAACTATTTTTTGACTTGTAGTTTATTTTTATACATGTGT